TATTATTATTTTAGTAATGTAATTTTAAATTGTTTTGACTCACACAACATACAACTGGCCGACATACAATTTGGAGTACCCTAGTATTATATTAGACAAAATTTTGTCGATATCAATGAAAAATATAATAAAATTCATAGAATATCAATTTAAATACTGAGTGAAGGAAATTAGGATGTATGCTAAAAAGAGGTGCACATTGGATAGTCCAATATGGGGTCCACCATGGAATAACTCGTGCGTGTTAAGGGGGAGGTTAATGTGAGGTGCCCTTCTAACAGAAGGTACACTTCTCAATTTTGCTTGTATACCGTTGTCAAATATTCGACTCTAAATAGTTGGAAAACGATTCGGATGATGAAAAAGATTGATGATATAGTTTCAGTATTATAGATTTTATGATGGTGTGAAAATTTATTCACAGTTACAAAATATTTAAATGGTCAAAAGCATGGCAAGTTGCATAATAGTAATTTATTACAATTAGCACTAATTTTAAGACTTAAAATTTATTTATTTTTCATAATCATATATCCCAAGGTTAAGGTTATCAATTGGAGGATTTTATGGCAGAACACTCTCTTTTAGAAGATTTTTGAGATGCACCTTATTTCAAGAGTATAGGGTTAATACCATATGCACCCTTTTATAAATTTTATCTGTATGTTTATATTAGTGATTTAAAACCCGAATAAGTCGTATGCTAGACTAATCCAGACCCGTGATATGGGCCGGACTGGACCACTCGCCTAGTGGGAGAATTAATCCAAAATAAATAAATAAATAATGATTTTAAATTTGAAAATTAAAAAATTGAAAAAACTAATAAAAATGGAATTGGTTAATTAACCAATCCGGATTGCCCAAGACCTTGATAAACTCCTTCAATTATTTGACAAATCCGGTCGAGTCCATAAAAATTGGACTGATTCCCGATTGCGTCCAAATGATTCCCATTCCGTGTCTCTTTTTTTAAAAAAACTAATTTATACTATAGTCGTCAATACCAAACCTAACTTATCAATTTGAATGGTGCCTTAGCCAGCAGACCTGAAATAGGTCGAAACAATGTTTGGTCGGTTGAATTAGCAATTTTGATTGGTTCAATTAGCTAAATAAAATTGGATAAATTTTTATTTTTTTAAATTTTTGAATTTTTTATTTTATAATTCAACAAGTGTTCAAATTGATTTTGATTGTACCAAACCCCTCACTGGTTTAGTGGCCAATCCAATCGCTTATAACATTGGTATACTACATGTCAAGATTCAAAAGATACGTCTAGGATGAATTTTTAAGGTTCAAACTTTACGCAGTTTAAAAAATATATTAATTTAATAAGAAAATTGATTTTGAGTTATTGAAGGACTAGATCCACCATCCATCAAAACAAACAATCTACATAAACCGAGAATCTTAGATACAAAACTTTAAAATCGAGATTATAGTCGTGATTCGTGTCTTTTACTTTCTATTTCCTTATCTTATTTTTGTTAAAGTATATGGAGCTCAAATAAGTTTCCATAATCAAAATCCACTGCAATCTTGACCAGTTATTTATTCTGACGTAGGTCAAAAAAGGGAAAAATTGAGCTCAAAACCTTGTAATTTATTAATCAAAGGCGCATCGAATGCATTTGAGAAATATTTAATTTACAGGAGTCCCCTAATCAGGTACTTTCGTGGTTAATTAGGTGTTTTGGTGGTGGACCAAGTGTACAATGTAATCGACACTGCGAGTTCAGATTGGTTTGCGATGATCAAGAATACTCACCCAGCCCACCAAGTGAAAGGTCCAAATGAGCATGACGTGCACCTGTCTCCCTCTTTCTTCCTCTATTTCTAAATCTATCCATTTTGGAATTCGTTTTTGACCAGTAACCAGAGGGTTTTGAATGAACTAGAAAAACTAGCAAGTCGTCACTTTCGAATCCCATCAAAATCTCAATAAGTCCATATCAGTAGCTATCATTAGGTTTTGTACAGTGTTATAGAAAGAAGATTTGATCACCCCACTCCCCTGGTTCAATTTGGAACTGGTGGGGTAACGGTCCAGGTCAAGAACATACTTGGTTTCCTTCAATTATTATTATTATTATTATTATTATTTTCAGTATAACTTTCACCCAGTGAATTGCATTTGAAATGGATTCTCTGATCCAATTTATAGAACAAGGCCTTTGTGCATCCAACGATGGGACTGTGTAGTGTACGCCAACTGTTACTTTCCAAAGTAGCAACACATGCCTGCCGTGCAGTAATTCCCTCCCTCAGGCACAAGTGCAACCAGTGATTTAAAACCCAGATCATGGGGTAGATCATACACTCACATATCCGTGTCAGATTGTTAGATCGTCAAACCAGATTGAGACTAAATCGGTCAGAAATCAACAATCTAAAAAATATTAAAAAATAAATTACACAAAGTAAAAGTTAAAATAGGTTCCAAGGGATCTAAGAAAAAAATTGATAAGCTTTAAAAAATAAAGAAAAATATATATAGGGAAGGGTTCTAATGAAGATCTGAGCACGGACTCATACCATCTCAAACTTATTCGATCCACCCAAATCAAGATCGAAAATCACAGGGTTTTAAAACACCAAATGCAGCTTACGAATTTTTAGTTCAGATTTTAATTTTGGAAATTACTTATTAGACATCGTACGAGTATTACCAAGATAAGAAATTTAGAGCTGCAATTCCCATTACTACTAAAATGCGGACATTCTCTTTTAAAAATACTTTCATGAAAAAGCATAATCATAATCCAATTCAGAATGGTATGCAGTACTCCCAAACGAATATCTACCGACCGTTGATATACGATGGAGACTAATCAAGTTTAGGTGAACGCCCACAATGCTTAAATTCCATCATACGCATGAACAGATGGTGAATGCCCTCCAGTAATTTACACTCATCTTCCATTTGTAAAAGAGAAGATTTGCTACTCGTGTAAACTTCAAAGCTAAAATTATTTGTTGGATGACTTGGATCCCAAATTTTAAGGATGTAATTTGTTTAACCAGTAATTAACCTCAATAATAACGATAATAATAACAAAAAGCAAATCACACGCTCTGTGCTCGGGAGAAGCAGTGAACCAAGATTGAATAGGGGCCGTTCAATCATTGGAGGGCAAGATCTAAGAATTGAACTCAAAATCTAATATTTTTTTTTTTGTTTTTTAAAACAACCTTCTAGTGATTCTTAGTTGGAGCCCAAAATTTCTGATACAAAAGATCTACCAAATAGCTCTTTGCCTAAGGCAGTTAATGTACAGTATGCTCCTGTAGGAGCATGCCATAAGTGCTACTTGTAAGAAGACCCCTCTCTCTCATATTCCATGAGATCAAACTTGCATGACTAAAAGCAAACAACTGAATTACCCATGCTACAGGCAGAAAAGGAGAAATCAAATACTTTATCAGAGCAAGAGTACCAATTACTCTTAAAAGTAATGCTGATTGGACCCAGGACCAACTTATTCTCAGAAGCCTATCAGGTTACGCGCCTGCGCTTGCACCAAGCTCATTAATTCTTCGATATACTTTACTAAGAAGTTGGTAACAGACCTGAGGTGATGTGCATGGGCCACACATGAGATAAATAACATTCCCCAAAGGCCTCATGTATACACCATCTTCACGCAGCTGCCGAACAAGAGAGATGGCATACAGAGAACCATATCTGCATAATTATTGCAAAAATATTAAAATCATCTGACAACTTCAGCACCCCAAATATAAAAGAAAAACCGTGATTCCAATAAAACAAACACTTAGAATACATTATTTCTTATAAAACCAACTTCTAGTTTTTACGAAATGAGAGAAGAAAAATGCAAGATGCATTAACCATCCTAAATTCAGGCGTATTCGATTTGCATTCAGAAAGGGAACCATAGCAGCGGATAAGGATCCTGGTGGAGCTGGAGAAGAACTGGGATAAGGCATTGGGGGCAGATCCGGACCCGACCGAAAGAGCTATGCGGCGGTCAGTCTCTTACTCATCTCAAAGGAACTAACTCCAGGACTGATAAGCTCGAACGAACAGCAGCTGCCATGCCTTGCAATTCATCCCATAAAACGGAGAGATAGATGAAGCGGATAGAAGAACAGGCGTACTCCTCCTAACTCCGACTGTTATTGCTGGTTGAATTTTTTTGTTTTGTTTTTTACTGAAAATTGAGTCAGTTATAACCCAGCTCACCTTTTCACAATAGAAGTTGTAACCTGCTCATTAACTTAATAATAAAATATTCATGCCATCGATAAAATAATAAGTGCAAAAGAGGTTCCGGGTTCGGTGATAGGTCAGGTGGCAATAGTCATATCATACCCAGAATCTTCTGCTTTGAGTTCAATAGCACACAAAGTCCCCAGTGAAACTACTCTTTTCACAGCTGAATGGGATGATAGTTTTGATACCATTTCACAGTCCCATAACTGCAAGCATTGAAATTTATATGATATATCAAAAACCGAAGAGGCCATTAGCCATACAAAACATAGTCCCAAGCTGACGATATATAAAAGAACATATTGAGGAGAGAGAGAGAGAGAAAAGAGAGAGAGAGAGAGAGAGTGGGAGGGAGGGAGGGAGGGGGACATTATCACTGCAGCTTATCCCTCCTAGTTAAACAAGAATTTTGACATCCTAGTCAGCGAAGACAAAGTAGAAGTAAGTAGAAGTACAAACATACCTCTCTAAGCTTCTTGTTTCCAGTTGCTATAATGTTGGGGTTCATATGGGGATCCTTAAACCATTGAATGGCTTTGGCTGCTGCTGTACAGCCCAGTGCATGTGCAGAGTAGGAGTGCCCATGCAATAAGGCCATGAGCTGAAACAAACAGGATATGTTTCTCTTGATTCAGGGTAACATACTCTACTTTCAGAAAATATTTAGCATGCAAATATCCACACACACGAATAGATGCATACAAGGCAAAAGAGAGACAAGAAATCAAAATGGATTTTCACAACTCGTAAAAGCATTTTTTTTTGGTGAATATTTCTGCTTATTAGTAGCCAATGGGACATGGGTTGTGCAAAAACTATGAGAAAAACACCACGGAAAATTCTGAAAAACAAATTTTATAAATAAAGGAAGACATCAATGTTTTGAAACTCAAGACTGCAACTCAGACCCACCCAAGTCACACGGAACTGAAAGGGTGCCGGGTCCTGTTGAAAAACATCGGGCCTTGCCCCAAGTCCCATTGCTTCAGGACTTTAATGTGTTATTTTTACATAGACTTGGCTGAGTCTCGTTAAGAATTGGCCAAGTTCAACCGGCTGACTCATGCTCAGGACACAAGCAAGTCCTGACATGAGTTGCATCAACATATCATCATCAGAGCCTTTTCCCAACTATTTGGGGTCGGCTATCCAGTACCGTGCGTCACTTATAAAATAAAGGATGATAGCTTGATAGGGCTGCAGCCCTATCAAAATAAGCAAATTTTCACTTCATAACTCATCGAAAATTGCAAGTTCAGCATTAGAAAACCTTTACATCGATCATCTTGACTTGAACATTATGGTTGTGAAAAAAAATTAGGATTTCAAGTTCCAAAAATAGTGTATATTGTAACAAATTGTCTAGACCATTTTGCTTTAAAAATAAGTGTTCCCATATCTGCAAGATCTGTACCATTTTTTGAGTTTCAAATTTTATTGTCGGTGTTGGAAATCAATTTTGGAGCCATCATAGAGATTTCTGTCGCCGAAAGTACTCTCCAGACGATGATTTAAGGTGACGCATTATATATTTTGTTTTCAATTTTTCCTGAAGCCTAGGCCTTATAGAAACCTCATCTTAAAATAAAATTGGCAGGAATAATAAGGAGAGCATTTATTACGACATGTAACACATCCATCACATTAAATCTTTAAGAAAGTTTACACAAATACAACTAGCCATTATTTAAAAAGTGTTAAGGTACATGCACTGAAATCCAACAATATCACACATAAGCCAAAATACTGGTCATTCTTATAGCTAGTTAGGAACTCCAAATCACATTCTTCTTTCAATACAATTGTTTAAGTTAAGTGTTCTTTACATGGGACATGAAGTTTAGACAATCTTTTGGACAATGCATTCTAAGCAAGCTAAAATCAGTCATGAAATGTGAAATGTAGATAGATATTCTTGAATGGGTTTGCTCAACAATATATTCGAGCAGCCATGGAGAAAAACAAGTTTGATAGTGCAAAAACACAATCCACAAGCTTTTTTTGAAAGAATAATATCAGCAAGAGCCGTAGGCCTAAGAGACCGGAACAACACTCTATATTCATTCAAGATAATTATCATTTATGAATGAGTTTGAATCAGTCCATTGGCACACGTACCTTAGAGTCTCCTTTAAATGCATCAAAGACAGCTTCAGTTGCTAATGTGACCGACAAAGGGACAATTCCCCCAGTCATTAGCTTTGCAAAGCAAGCAATATCAGGAACACAACCAAGGAACTCTGCTGCAGACTACAAAATGCAACATTGACCAATTAAACGAAGAACAGAATAAAAAACAAATAAAGTTGAGCCACACGCAGATTTACAAAATTAAATTACACCCCAAAAGGAAAAGCAAACATAAATATCACAAAGAGTAGAAAACACACCTCAACACCAAGACGCCAAAACCCAGTGAAAACTTCATCATAAATAATAGGAATTCCTTGATTTCGACATTCCCTAACGAGCACCCGTTGAAAAAGGGGATCGATCATGTGCATTCCACCGGCACCATGGATAACTGCAACATTACTTGACCTTTTTAGTGGCAAAAATCGCAGGAAACAAATGAGCATAAGACACATGATGTTGGAAGATGAGGCATAATTTTAAGGGAAATTTATCAAAAATCGCAGGAAACAAATGAGCATAAGGCACATGATGTTGGAAGATGAGGCATAATTTTAAGGGAAATTTATCAAAATACCGATGAGAGGTGATCTATTTAATAATTTACTCTTTTAGAACTTTTCCAACTCAAGACCGTGCATTATTTTATGGGTATTTTGAAACTAATTCAAAAACTATGGTAAAGTGTTAAATTGTTAATCTCTTAGCGCCTTAGGGGTAATGTAATAATTTTCCCCAATTTTAAAACGATGACACTTCTCTAGTAAAATTCCATCTCTATCATATCAAATTTTCAACACGTTAATCATGGGATATGATGCATGTTCCGGTCAGGTTACTTAATTCATGCTCTGCCCACCACAAAAAAAAAAAAATTCCGGAGTAAAAGAGTGACAAGCCATCATTTACAAATGGTTCGAAATTTAGAGCATATGGTCAAGCGGTATAAGGCTCTTATGCCCTTGGTTACTCTCAGATAAGAGGGCATGGATTCAGTTTGCACAAACAAACAAGTAGTTAAGCTCACAACTATTCGAGTTCTGATCTCACTAGCAGCATCACTGGATTTGGAGCGCCACAAATGCTCAAAACTATTGAGATTTTAATATCCGATCTGCATCCATCTTTTGGTTGACTCAAATAATAAATAATTAGTTAGAAGAAAACCACAAGAACACTGTTAGCAGAAATCCAACAATACCAAGGAAAAATTGTTAACATTGTTCTCTCTACAAACTGTAACACAAAGTTAATGGAAATAGATAATATGGAGACTTAGTTATATTTTCTGTTAACATGCAAGTAAATCCAACAATACCAAGGAAAAATTAATGTAAACTCCAGAAATTAATATTTTTCTTACCTGGTTCTATTATCAGGGCTGCTATAGAAGCACAATTTTTTGATCCTCGATACAGTGACAACTGCTGATGTATATAATTGGAATAGTTTCCAGCAAGCTCAGAAGAATCCCTACTCCCACAGAACACCTCCTCACGCGAGCTAAATGCTACAAGTTGAGTGTGCAAGTTACATATCACAAATTAGAGCTTGCCTTCAAATAGTG